CTTTGACATTTCATATAATAAGGGCTTGGTGATGATGAACTCCTTTAACTTGACCTTATCTGGGAAGCACTTTATCTGCCCTTCCATTCTAAATGATAGCTTTGCTGGATAGAGTAATTTAAGTTGTAGGACATTGCTTCTCATGACTTTGAATACTTCTTTATAGCTCCTTCTTGCCTGGAAGGTTTCTTTTGAGAAATCATCTGCTAGTCTTATGGGAACTCTTTTGTAGATAACAATCTCTTGTTTTCTTGCTGCCTTAAAATTCTCTCTTTATCTTTAATCTTGAGTTAGCTCTCTCTGAGCTTCCAGGACTTCTTGGAAGTCTATTTCCTTCACCAGATTGGGGAAGTTTTCCTTCGTTACTTGTTCAAATAAGTTTTCAATTTCTTGCTCTTCGTCTCCTTCTGGCATCCCTATGATTCAGATGAAAAAAAGAAGTCTCTCTAGGCAAGATCAGGTGAATAGGGAGGGTGAGGCAAAGGAGTCATGCCATTTTTTTTTTTTGTCAAAAACTGCTGAACACTCAGTGCAGTGTGGGCAGGTGTGCTCATAAATCACCCATTATGAAATGGGCAAACAAAATGAAAGGGTCTTCAAAAATTTTTACTGAATAATGCAGCCTCTCACAATGGGCTCCTAGAACACTTATCTAGCAGGGGAAGACTATATATACTACAAGAGACCCACCTCCCAGAAGATAATAATCAGTTTTTGGGGGGACCCCTTCATACACAACTTATCACTGTCTGTTGGAGTTAACATTTCACTAGTTTGAGGGATGTATAGAAACCTTTCCTCCCTTTACTGTTCTTCATTTATTTATTGTTCTAAACATTTCCTCTACATATACGGAGCACCACATTAGGCATTGCTATAACTTATGCTGTAATTATCTAATATAATTGAGAGAACAGCATCAGAATGAAAGTGTATTATATCTACCTATATTTTTGCTCTTTCCATTGCTCTTTCATCCTGATGTCATCAAATTCATAGGATTGCTTCTATTATTTTTGTCTTTACTTTATTAACTTTCTATTTTTTATGGTGGGCATCCAAGAATGACTTGATTTTCCCATTACTCCTGAAGGATGTTTTCTTTGGATAGAGAATTCTGAGATGATGCCTGTTTTTCTTTTAGTACTTAGAAAATACAATGTGACCTCTTCCTGGCTTTCAGGGCTGCTGATGAGAAATTTATTGTCATTCAAAAAATTTTGCCCCTTTTAGCGAACCAGACAATCGCGGTTTGATTCCCAGTCAGGGCACATTTGTGGGTTGCAGGCCAGTTCCCAGCAGGGGCCAGTTCCCAGCAAGGGGTGCACCAGAAGCAACCATACATTGATATTTCTCTCCCTCTCTCCTTCCCTTCCCCTCTAAAGGTAAATAAATAAAATTCTTAAAAAAAATTTTGCCCCTTTTAGGAATGTGTCATGTCTTTCTTGCTGCTTTCAAGTATTTTTCTTTGTCTTTAGCTTTCAGAAGTTTGATTATGATATGCTTTTGTTTGAATTTCATTGGGTTTGTCCTATTTGGAATTTGAATCTGTAGGTTTATTTTATAAATTTTTGGAAATTTTCAGCCTTATTTTTTGGAATACGTGTTTTTGTAGGAAAGATTACTAGAAGTAGAATTTCTGTGTAAAAGGATTCAAACATTTACAATTTAGTAGGTATTTTCAAATAACCCTCCCAAAGTTTACAGCAAATTTTACTCCTGCCAACAGTGGATAAAAATGCCTGTTTACCCACCCTCTTACCAGCAGGAGTTATTATTAATCTGTTAAACATTTGCCAATGTCCTGAATTTAAAAAAATGCATTGCTGTTTTAATCTGCATTTATTTTTAACAAAACTGAGCATATTTTTTTGTTTATTGGCCATTTGTATTCCTTCTCTAATTATCTTTTTTTGCCACAATTTTTGATGGGTGGTTCATTTCTTATTTGATCATGAAGTTCAGTTTGTACATTTTGGAAATTATTTTTCTGTCATTTGTGTTGCCTATGTTTTTGCCAGTCTTTTGTCAGTCTTTTAAACTTTATTTTTGTTTTCTGTTTGTTTTGTAAAAAAAAATTAAAATTTCTACTTACTAAAAGTTATCCAGCCTTTTGCTGTCTCTAGATTTTTGTCCTGTTTAGATAGATTTTTCCTTCAGCAAGGTTATATAAATATTTTTGATCTACTTGTCTAGTATTTCCATGGTTTCATTTTTACAATTAAATCTTGCATCCATCTGAGATATATTTTTATGTGAAGTGAGGTAGATAATAGCAGATCTTTTCTATCAGGATTTAAAGCAGTGGTGTAGGGGGGAGTACCTAGGAGAGTTTATGAGAATGTTGTATGCCTGGGAGGAGGGAAATATCGGAAAACTATGGAGTCAAAGGCTGTCTCCCCTTTTCTTAGTTTTCTCTTTGAGTGCTACCCAGAGGAAAGGTTAAGTTAACTGAGATGTGAAGGTTGAAAGAAAAGCAAGTTTAAAAAATTTTGGAAAAAATCATAACTTACACTCATTAATGTTTTAAAATTGTGCTGTAATTGACATGCAACATTATATTAGTTTGTGGTATATAATGTAATTATTCAGTATTTGTATATATTGTGAAATGATCACGACCGTAAGTCTAGTTAACATCCATCACCATGCTAGGAAAAATGAAATTGCTTATTTTGCAATTTTTGTTACTCTTGTTTTGGTAGAAGGACCTTTTCCTCTCTTGATTAGAGAAGACATATATCAACTTGGGTTAATATTGTGTTTCCTTTATAGTGCATCCTAGTGAGACATTTATTCACAGTTATGACCCTTAAAGTAAGATACTCATTCAGTTAACAAATATTTTCAATCATCTCTCAAGGAGGTGGGTATGCTTATATGTTTGATCTTTGGAATCAGACTGATCGGATTTAAATTTCAGTCTAATAACATTAGCTATGTGATCTTGGGCAAGTTACTAAATTTCACTGTACTTCAAATTCCTCTTCTGCAAAATGGGGATGTTAACATTTCACTGTATTGATGTCAGTGTCAGAACAGTGTCAGACATGTAGCAGGCACAATAATAAATGTGAACTATTAATAATGCTAATCACTGGAGATAGAGCATAAGAGATATGGTCCTTTTAGTTATAGACCTTGCATTCTTGAGTGAGGATATAAATTTAAAAATTACAAATAGCCCCCTGGTTAGGTGGCTTAGTTGGTTGGAGCATCATCCTGTACACCAAAAGGTTGTGGGTTTGATTCCTGGTCAGGGCATATACCTAGGTTGTGGGTTCAATACCTGGTTGGGGCACCTACAGAAGGCAACCTATCGATGTTTCTCTCCCTCTCTTTCTCTCTCCCTTCCTCTGCCTCTAAAAATAAGTAGATAAAATCTTTTAAAAAGTGAAGAGGACCTGGGATTGTGTAAATATTTTACCTTCAACGTAGAAACTATGAGATACTAAAAAGAGAATGGGCTAATAATTAAAGTAGAGATATAATTTAGTGGTAGAGTATCTGCTGCATATGAAGGAAGTCCCAGATTTTATTTCTGGCATCTCCATTTCTCTTTGCCTCCCCAGAGGACAGGGCAGGGCTATACATTCTTCCAGTCTTTTTGTCAATTAATCATACATATTTTTGTAGTTCATAGAACACAGAAGATGCTCAATAGATATATTTTTAAAGATTTTATTTATTTATTTTTAGAGAGGGGAAGGGAGGGAGAAAGAGAGGGAGAGAAACATCAATACTGGTTGCTTTTCATGGGCCCTGACTGGGAATTGAACCAGCGACCCTTTGGTACTCAATCCACTGAACCACACCAGCCAGAGCTCAATAGATATTTTTGAATGAAAAGTTATTGTATAAATGAAGTAAATGATAATAGCTGGGTTTTAGTACCTGCTTTGGCACAATGTAACTTTGTGATATTGGGCAGTTAGCAAGATACAATTTTGTTATCTGTAAAGTGGAAGTAATAAAAGTACCTATCTTTTGGAAGGAGCTCCTATCCTTCACTACAGCATGGATGGAACTGGAGAGCATTATGCTAAGTGAAATAGCCAGCCAGTAAAAGACAAATACCCTATGATCTCACCTATAAGTGGAACCTAGTCAATAAAACAAACAAGCAAGGAAAATATAACCAGAGACATTGAAATAAAGAACAAACTGACAGTAACCAGAGGGGAGATGGGAGGGGATAACAGGGGAAAAGGGGTAAGGGTCATTAAGGAACATGTATAAAGGACACATAGACAAAAGCAAAGGGTTGTAGGATCAAGGGCGGGGAGGTGAGAATGGCTGGGATGGGTGGGAGTGGTGGAAAAGAAACAAAATGAGGTAATGGATGTCTAACTAGACTTACTGTGATGATGATTTTGTAATATATACAAATACTGAATCATTATATATCTGAAACTAATATGATAATTATACCTCAATAAAAAGTATCTTTTGGACAGGGTTTATGACAATAAAAATATAACAATTAGTACAGAGCTATCACTGAATTAATGTTAGCTACTACTATTAGCTCTCTGCACTTGGGAGACTTACCCATAAAATAGGGGAATGATTTCTCCCCTCCTTTCCATCACAAGGTCATTTGTGAAGCCAAGCAGGAGTTAATGTCCGATTCTGCAAGGGGTTATTAATATTAGTGTTTTAACTGGTCTGAACCTATATTGTACAGCTGCTCTCCTCCTCGTCCAGCAGGATTATTTAAATAAAAACGGCTCTTTAAAGAGTCCTAGTACTACAGCTAGTCAAACCTGCATCTTCCAACCAATTGTACTGGAAACCACGCCCTAATGTTATCTTTTAGTCTCAGAGTTCAATTAATCCCCAGCCCAGTCCCTCCTTGCTGGGCGGTCTCATCGCAATTCTGCACACTGATTGGCCCCTGATGGCCAATCACCACTGCGCTTTCTCTAGGACTGTAATTTTTAAAATTCGCTACTGGTGGATTGGGGGGAGCATAGACCCGGTGCTCCATTTATTTCCCTGGCGGCTCCGGGTCTGGGAGTGCATCCTTGGTCTTTCTTTCCTGTTTTTCCCCAATCTCGATGTGAGGTAGGCGCCTTTGGGTTTGTACCGCCAGTTGAAAGTCCGGCTCTGTCACACGCATGTTGGTCCTTCAGCGTCACTTCTATCCCTTGCTACACTCTGTCCTCGCTTGCGGGGTGCACGGTGTCCCTGTCGGGAAACCTTTATTTTGTTCTCCTGCCAGTCAGCTGTATGCGGGGTGAGCCTTGTACGAGACTGGGCTCAGAGTGTGTATTAGAGGGTGAGTTGCCAAAGCAAATGAGACTGGGTCCTGTCTTTTGGAGCATCCAAGTACACATGCCTGAATAAGTACATTTACAAAACGTCTTTTCACAAGTGAAAGTGCCAGATCGATTTCATCCACAAGACTACGCATTTAAGTTAGAGAATGTTACTTGAGGGATGTCTTTTGATGTACAGGTTGATGGAAATGTGTCCTTTTCCCTTCGTTATCCTTATATCTCCACTCTTTTATCTCTGCCTCCAATCCCCTCAGTTCTGGCTTGCCTATTGCTCTCTGCTATTCGATTAGAATCGTAGAAGGCCAGTGGTTGAAGGGGCTTTAACCTGGCTTTTTAAAACTTTAAAGTGTATACAAATCACCTGGGGATATTGTTAACTTGCCTATTTTTATTTAGTAAGGCCTAGCTTGGTGCCTGAGATTTTAAAGGGCTAAAAGGGCCCATGTGAAACTAATGTTGCTGTACAAATTTACCACAGTTTGAAGAGTATGGAGGCTCTGGTCCCATTGCCTCAATTTATTAAGCGGAGAAATGAAGCCTAGGGAGGGAAAAGGGACTTGCCCAGTGTCACCCAGCTAGCTACAAGCAGGGTCAGAACTAGACCATAGGCATACTTTCCAGTCCAGTGCTGCTTTCATTGACACAAACCATGATGCTTTCTCTCCCTAATATCTTGCTGTCTGTAACCTGCCTTTATATATAAAATGAAGTTGCTACTGTTTTCTGTAAACTGTTTTGATCTACAATTTTGGAGTCTGAACAATTTGGGCTTCTAAAAGAGTTGGTTTGCCCCTCCCTATGGGTTTCAGCCCTGCTCTGGGATGCCCAATGGGGTTTTCAAGATGTAGGAGAGATGGAGAATCTGAAAAGTGGAAAGGATTCTAATTTTCTTGTTCAAGTAAGGCTCAGCATTTTGCAGGTGGTAGAAGTCCAGAGTGTACTGCAGAGAGTGCCCTTTTATGAAAGCATGTTTTTAAAGGTTCCAATCCCCACTCCTAGTGGCATGGAAATTAGCTACTTAAGTCAGTGTGTCCCCCAAAGCAAGCGATTATTGTTTAGGAGAGTGAAGGTGGTATATGGCCATACTGTGAATAACTATTTTTTTCTGAGGTTTAATTAATCTGTGACATTATCAGCTAAAAGCATTTTAGCCTTTTTTGCTCCAGTTTGATTTTTTTCTCCTTTCCCTCAAAAGACAGAGGTTTCACATGAGTCTTTGGTCATCAATAAAAAAAAACAACGTACATTTCATACAGTGCAGTTAGGGGTGGGTTCACCCAATTTAGCTTTTTTGCTGCTTGGCTAAGTTTTGAAGGATGAGGTAGAAAACAGTTTTGGATCTGGAGGAAAAGAAGAGTAATACCCACCATTTATTCTGAGTACCTGCCATGCTTAGGCTCTCAAGTACAAATTTACATTTGAGCCACAGGATGACCCTGCAAGTAAAGGATGGTGTAGCTCTTTTGCAAAAGAGAAGCTGAGACTCAAAGATGCTAATTTGGCTTATTTAAGAGCCCAATTGCTTCTTTTTTAAAAAGCCTGTGCTAATTCTACCTCCTCTCACTACTACACTAGAGCCTTTCATTTTGGACCATGGACTGTTTTAAAATGTTTTTTAGTGTCACTGAAGAGACTTCATGGTTTTTTAGAAGGAGCCGGGTGGTCTATACTGCTTACTAGCTTGTCCTGTGTATTAAGCCACTTAACTCATCTGGGACTATAAAATGTAAATGGTTTTGGTGTGAGGATCACTGAGGTAATAAATGTAAAGGCACATACTTGTACTGACTTTTTCTCAGTGACAACATATTTAATACTGAAGTACTTCTCCATCCAAAACAAAACCCAAATTCTTTCTGAATTAAACCTTCTCCTCAAACCATTGTCTTCTCTGCTTCCCTTTGTTACTAGCCTACTCACAGCCTAGATTTCAGCTTCTTTCTGACTCCTCCCTAGCACATTCTTTATATTCTGCACTCAGGCAATCTGGACATCCCTGAACTTTCTGTGCTCTGCATGTTCCAGTGTTTGCCTTTCCTGGGCTCAGGCTTTCTTTGCCTGGAAAGTGCCCACAGTCTACTTGGGAATGTCATTGTCTGTTGTCATTTAAGTCCAGGTCAAATATAACCTCTATATTCCATTATATTTCTCTAGTACTTTGTATCTACCTTATACTTTTGTGAAACCGCTTGTCACATTTTTATGTTACTATTGGAGCTATTCATGTGAATAGTTCTAGGATAAGATCCATGATTTATTTGTGTTTGTATCTCTATTGCCTGAAGTATCTGGTACATAGTGGTAAGTTTGTTGCATTGCCTTAGGGAAGCCGTTTTGTCAAATGCAGTTGAACTTGGTGAATGTGAATGGGGTTGGAAGGGCACTTTCTTGTGTATCCCCCCCCAGATGACTCCTCCTAATAATGTATTTGATTGTAAGACACATAAATGTATCCTAACTATTAAGGATCCATGAACTACACCCACCTCAAGAAATATAGACTGGGGTCCCACACTGAGATAGGGTGAAGGTAGTATTCTTCCAACTGTTATAATGTCTGTTAAATTTTTATGCTAACAGTTTCTTGTGCTTGAATATAGCCCTTGAATACTCTCTAGCTTGTTGTGCACATGTGTGTGTGCAGTGCCTTCTTATGTCTTCTCAGTAGCATTCTAATTTCTGTGGCCAGAACCTCATGCCTTTTAAAGAACATTAATCCTACCAGCTAGCCTCCAAACTATATATGACTGGTCACATTCTTGATTGTTTTCAATGTAAATCATGTCAGTTGTCACCAATGTTCCTAGGCCTAAATTGGGGGCTAGGCTATAATTCCAGGGCCCACAGAGGATGACAGGTACTGTGCTGGGCTTTTTCATAGAGTATCTCACTTAATTTGAACAGTGCCCTGCAGAGGTAGGTATACTTATGTCTTTTGTATAGATGAGATAACTGGACCCCAGAGACTTTCAGTCACTTGCCCAAGATTAATTGTGGTCGAACCGATATTTGAACCCAAATTTGCCTAACTCAAAAGTCTGTTTCCTCCTAGGGATGCTATAGAAAGATTGGGTTTTCTCAAGAGTCTCCAGAGAATTCTGTGATGTTTCTACTGAAAGGTGTTTTAAAAAGTCTCTTTTTGATTGCAGCTCTGCGTTGGATAGACATTGTCCAGTCTTTAAGAGATGCCATTGCCACTGCCACTACCACTCGGAATCTCCAAGCAGGAGACTAAGAAATCTCAGTTCAGCAAAATTGTGCCCAGTGATCATGGCCAATTTGAAAAGGTTAGAATAAGCTGTCTTTCCCAACAGTGTCTGGAGTAGCCTCTTCCTGTGCCAGCTTAGTCCCTATCCTCACCCTTAAATCTTTTAGAATGTGTCATTTAATTTGAGGAGGGTAGGAATGGGGGTCCTTATAGTTGGGGAAGACCAGCAAATTAGAAATTGAGGGGAAAGTGTGAACTTTGCTTTTCCATAAAAGTATGGCCAAAATGAAGGCCATCCTCCACAATTTTCAAGAGCAAGCAATATTCAACTCTTATAATGATAATATTCACACTTTTACTACCTCTAAGATGCTCAAAGCACCTTTCTGGAAGGCTGCTTAGTACATCCTGGGGAGGGTATAGAGATTGAGTCAACACATGTATTATCAAGCTTTTTTTTTTTTAATTTAAAAAATTGATCCATTTTGACTCTGCTGTTTTGACCTTGTGGGTAGTTTGACATACTCATTCCAATCCTGGGATGTTCTCTGTTCATTCATTGTTATGTATATTTTAATCAGAATTTCACTAACATTTATGAATTATCATTAAGAGAGCATTTCCTAGAGCAAACATTATTAGGCCAATTTAATTTACTTGATTAGTTTCCTCTCAGTACAGATAAACATTTTCTAATAATTTTCATTTTAACTTTACCAAAGTGATTTTCATGTAGAGTCCAAATTTTTTTCTATGTAAATCGGCAAGAAATTTTTGATACATTTATCAGATTTTTGTCCATATCAAATTTTCTGATTAGAGTTCTGCCATTGTAAGTTTTCTTTGGTGGTAGTGATTTTTCCAAGTGCAACTTTCTTGGGGCACATTTTGTAAATCTAAATTTTTAAAAAAAATTTGATTGCCAACACTATTACAGATGTCCCCCATTTCCGCACCTTTTGCCCCCCTCCACCCAACCCCTACCTCCCCTTCCCCGGCCTTTACCACACTATTGTTTGTATCCATAGGCTGTGCATATACATTCTTTAGCTAATACTTTCACCTCCTTTTATCCAATCCCCCCACCCCCTCTGACATTTGTCAGTCTGTTCCATGTATCCATGCCTCTGGTTTTGTTTTGTTTGTTCATTTTGTTCATTAGATTTCACATATTAGTGAGATCATATGGCTGTCTTTTTCTCACTGGCTTATTTCACTTATCATAATAATCTCCGGGTCCATCCATGCTGTGGAAAAGGGTAAGATTTCTTTCTTTTTTACAGCCCCATAGTATTCCATGTGTAAACATACCACAGGATTTTTATCCACTCATCTACTGGTGGGCACTTGGGCTGTTTCCATATCTTGGCTATTGTAAATGATGCTGCAATGAACATAGGGGTACACATATTCTTTTGATTTGGTGTTTTAGGATCCTTAGGATATATTTCCACAAGTGTGGTACATGGATATTTCCATTTTTAATTTTTTGAGGAAATTCCATACTGTTTTCTATAGTGGCTGCACCAGTCTGCAATCCCACCTATAGTGCAGAAGAGTTCCTTTCTCTCCAACTCCTTGTCAGCACTTGGTGTTTATTGATTTATTGACAGTAGCTATTCTGGCAGGAGTGAGGTGATACCTCATTGTAGTTCTAATTTGCATTTCTCTGATGATTAGTGATATTGAGCCTTTTTTTGTATGTCTATTGGCCATCTGTATGTCCTCTTTGGAGAAGTGTCTATTTAGGTACTGTGCCCATTTTTTAATTGGATATTGGACTGTTTATCTCCTGGGTGATGAGTTGTATAAGTTCTTTATATATTTTGGAGATTAACCCCTTATCAGATGTATCATTTGCAAATATATTTTTCCATACAGTGGGTTTCCTTTTCGTTTTGTTGGTGCTTTCTTTTGCTGTGCAGAAACTTTTTAGTTTGATGTAGTCCCATTTGTTTACTTTTTCCTGTGTTTCCCTTGCCCTAGGAGACATGTTAGCAAAAATATTGCTCTGGCAGATGTCTGAGATTTTGCTGCCTATGTTTTCTTCTAGGATCTTTATGGTTTTGCAACTTATATTTAAGTCTTTTATCCAACTTTAGTTAATTGTGTATCGCATAAGTTAGTTGCCTAGTTGCATTTTTTTGCATGTACCTGTCCAACTTTCCCAGCACCATTTATTGAAGAGACTGTCTTTCACCCATTGTATGTAAATATAAATTTTTATTGAGTTCAATTTCACCTGTGAATTTTATTTAAGGCTGATTATTTCTACCAGTAATATTAAGTAGATATTGGATAACAGATTGGTAGTTTATTTCTTAGCTAATTTGTGAGAAAATAATATTTTAATTTTTTACTAATTATTTGCACTAGGATTATTTACTGTGAACAAGATAAAAAATTATCAGTGTACTTACAGTTAACACTATTTATATAAAAAGTCTATATAAACTGTAAATATTCAGAAATCATATTTTAAAAGTATACAATTGGTTTAAAAGTATATATGGTTAATATTGGATAGTATACCAATAAATATGAGAGAAGTAAGAGGGAAAATTAACTTTATCAAGCTATTTTGCTCATTGTAAGAGTTACACTGAATGTCATCTTGTCTCTTCACAGCCTAGTCCCCATCATCAATAATTACCTCCTTCAGGGATTCTCTAAGCAGCAGTGAATGTCAAAATTTCCTCTTCTTGTAGTTTATTGGGGTTTATTATATGCATCCACAGTTGCTGGGAGATTCCGGAGTTACTCCCTGAGCCCCAAAGATGACGCAAAGTCCCTGAAAAAGTCTGTTCACAATTGGGTATACTCATTTACCTCTTTTACTTTTTTAGAGAGGGGAGAAATACCAAGCAAAGATATCTTCATCTTCACCTCAGGGACCTCTCAAAAAGAGATCCGCTTTGGAAGATCTCACCAATGTGAGTATAGTAGTCCAATCCTCTGCTGTGATTGTTGTGTAAGGTTTAGACAAACTCTTCCTTGAGAGTCCTTTTCAGTTTACCAAACTCTGACCCTTTCTGGAATGTTGAGAGGTGATTTTTATTGGGATCAATGACTCAATTTCAGAAATTGCAAGGGCTATTCTTCTGGCACATGTATTTGGGTTAATTGGTGAAGCTCTGTGGAAGCAACAGGTAGAGTGGTTATTAGATATGAAATAGATATTGTAGATAAATGAAAACGATGGGATCTTACATTTAGACAAAGTCCAGAGGTGGGTCAAGGGGTTGCCTAGGACTTGAAGGTAAATACTGGTGGATTTGTTATAGTCTAGGCAGTGTTTATCAACTCAAGCACTACGAAGATTTGGGAGAGGACATTTTTTTTCTGTTGCATAGGACTGAGCTTAGCCAGCATTCCTGGACCCCAGGCATTAAGTTCCAGTAGCATCCCAGTCATAGTGACAATAAAAAATGTGCCCTGATATTTGGAATCAAGGAACACCATAGATCCATGATCTGGTCTTCAACTGTGGAGATCTAGAAACTCAGTTCTAACTAGAATTCCTTTTTTCGGGGGGAGTGTTTTTTTCTCATTGTGGTTCAAATACAGTTATCCCTGTTTTTCCCCCCATTACTCTTCCTTGCCCTGCCCACCTCCCTCCCACATTCAGTCCTCCCTATGGCCCCTGTTGTCCTTGTCCATGGGTCCCTTATACATGTTCCTTGACTTAACCCTTCCCCTTCTTTCCCTCATTATCTCCCTCCTCCCTCCCCTCTGGTCACTGTCAATTTGTTCTTTATTTCCATGTCTCTGGTTCTATTTTGTTTGCTTGTTTCTATTGTTGATTACATTCTACTTAAAGGTGAGATCATATGGTATTTGTCTTTCACTGCCTTGTGGGGGCGACTTTTCCCGCAAGTCCCCCCATCTGCCATGGATGAAAGTAGACAAGACATGACATGATCTGCTTCGGGAGGAGAGGTGGCCAGTTTCTCAGGGAAAAAGGCATTGAGCCCCCTCCTCCAAGGACTTTTATTGGGTTGTAATACATAGGAATGCAGGGCAGCAAGGATCAAACAGTAGATAACATTTCAAAGAAATATGAGGGCTTAGTCTGAGTCAGTGCCTATCAGGAAAGTTTTGCAGAAACTTTAGGAGACATGCTCATTTTCTTTCAGACCCTTATCATATGAATGAAAACACTCAGCAGAGCAGATTTCACAGGTTTCTCAGGAATTCTTTGTGATGCCAGATTTTACCCCAGACACTCTCTGGCAAGGCAAGGAGCTGCACCCCTCCCCATCAGGTCTTCAGGCTTAAGGGGATTAGAGCCAGGAAGCGCTTCTCCCAGAGTACATGGGGACTTGGGTTATCTCGCAGAGCTGGAGGCAAGCAGAGCTGGAGGGCACTGGTCTATTATTTACTCTTTGTTGAACCCCCCTCCCCCCTCAAGTCCTTCCATGATGGCCTCCCAAGTGGTTGAGTCTGGCTTAGGTTGTTCCCTGCTGTGAGGAGACTAACCCGTCATGGACTTCCGACCATGCTTTGGGGGCAGGGAGAGGAAACTGAGGTAGCATTTGCTACCAGAAACAAGCCTTGTCTCCTGTGTGTTGCATTCTGGAGGTCACTCACTCATTCTTAGCCACGGTGGGGGGAGGTGTTGGTTAGGGTTAAAATTCCTGAAACCAGGCAGAGCTGTTCACAACACTGCCTGGCTTATTTCACTTAGCATAATGCTCTCCAGTTCCATCTATGCTGTTGTGAAGGGTGGTAGTTCCTTCTTTCTTTCTGCTGGGTAGTATTCCATTGTATAAATGTACCATAGATTTTTGATCCACTCATTTACTGATGGGCACTTAGGTTGCTTCTAGCACTTGGCTTTTGTAAATTGTGCTGTTATGAGCATTTGGGGTGCATAGGTTCTTTTAAATTGGTGTTTCAGGGTTCATAGGGTATAAGTCCAACAGTGGAATTGCCAGGTCAAAGGGCAGTTCCATTTTTAGTTTTTTGAGGAAATTCCATACTGTTTTCCACAGTGGCTGTACCAGTCTGCATTCCTACCAAACATTGTACTAGGGTTCCCCTTTCTCTACATCCTTGCCAGCACTTGTTATTTGTTGATTTGTTTATGGTGGCCATTCTGACTGGTATGAAGTGGTGTCTCATTGTGGTTTCAATTTGCATCTCTGATGGCTAGTGATGTTGAGTATCCTTTCATATGTCTCTTGGTCCTTTGTATGTTTTCCTTGGAGAAGTATCTGTTCAGGTCCTCTGCCCATTATTTAGTTGGATTTTTGTCTTGCTGGTATGGAGTCCTGTGAATTCTTTACATATTTTGAAGATCAAACTCTTGTTGATGTATCATTGGCAACTATGTTTTCCCATACAGTTGATTTCCCTTTCATTTTATTGCTGTTTTCTTTAGTTGTGCAGAGCTTTTTATTTTGAGGTGGTCCCATTTGTTATTTTTTCCTTTATATCCCTAGCTCTAGGGGACATATCAGTGAAAATATTGCTGTGTCAAATATCTGAAATTTTCCTGCTTAAGTTTTCCTCTAGGACTTTTATGGTGTTGCAACTTATATTAAGTCTTTTATCCATCTGGATTTTATTTTTGTGTATGTGTAAGTTGGTGATCAACTTTCTTTTTTTTTAAATTTATAGAGTTGTGTGATGATCATCACAACTCAGTTTTATTTATTTATTTTTTTAATATTTTATTTATTTTTAGAGAGAGGAGACAGAAAGGAGAAAGAGAGGAATAGAAATATCAATGTGTGGTTGCCTCTTGTTTGTCCCCCACTGGGGACCTGGCCTGCAACCCAGGCATGTGCCCTGACTGGGAATCAAACCAGCGACCCTTTGCTTCACAGGCCCATACTCAATCCACTGAGCTACACCAGCCAGGCTCAACTTTCATTTTTATGCATGTACCTGTCCAGATCTTCCAACACCATTTGTTGAAGAGGCTGTTTTTGGTCCTTTTTATGCTTCTGCCCTCTTTATCAAATATTAATTGACCATAGAGACATGGGTTTATTTCTGGGCTCTCTATTTTATTCCATTGATCTATGTATCTGTTCTTATGCCACTGCCAAACTGTTTTGATTATAGTGGCCTTATAACATAGCTTGATATCAGATATTGAGATCCCTCCTACTTTTTCTTCTATCTCAAAATTGCTGAGGCTATTCGGGGATGTTTATAGTTCCACATAAATTTTTGAAATTTCTGTATCTGTGAAATATGTCATTGGTATTTTAATAGTGATTGTGTTGAATCTACAAATTGCTTTGAGTAGTATGGGCATTATGATGTTAATTATTCCAATCTATGAATACAGTATATGCTTCCATTTATGTCTTCCTTAATTTATTTCTTCAGAGTTGTGTAGTTTTCTGAGAACAGGTCTTTTATTTCCTTGGCTAGCTTTATTCCTAGGTACTTATATTTTTTCTTCTTGCTATAGTAAATGGGATTTCCCCCCTAATTTCTGTTTCTGATATTTTACTATTGGTGTACAAAAGTGCCTTGTATCTCACTGTTTTGCCAAATTCACGTAGTAGGTCCAGTAGTTTTTTTGGTGGAGTCTACAGGGTTTTCTATGTACACTGTCATGTCATCTGCAAACAATGACAGTTTTACTTCATCCTTTCCAATTTGGATGCCTTTTATTTCTTTTCCTTATCTGATTCCTATGGATAGGACTTCCAATATTATTTTGAATAGAAGTGGTAAAGTGGCTGTGGCTGGTGTGGCTCAGTAGATTGAGTGCTGGCCTACAAATCAAAGGGTTACTGGTTTGAATCCCAGTCTAGGGCACATGCCTGGGTTGCAGGCCAGTTATAGGGAACATGCAAGAGGCAATCACACATTGATGTTTCTCTTCCTCTCTTTCTCTCTCTAAAAATAAATAAAATCTTATAAAAATTAAGAAAAAATGGTGAAAGTGGACACCCTTGTCTTGTTCTTGATCTTAGTGGGAAAGCTTTTATTTTTTTGTCCATTGAGTATGATGTTGGCTCTAGGTCTCTCATATATGGGCTTTATTATGTTGAGGTATGCTCTGTGTACTGCTACTTTGCTGAGTGTTTTTTATCTTAAATGGGTTCTGTATTTTATCAAATGGTTTTACAGAATCTATTGTTATGTTTATATGGTTTTTGTTCCTTTGTTTGTGTGATATATTACATTTATTGTTTTGGGAATATTGTATGGTCCTTGCATTCCTGGGATGAATCCCTCTTGATCACAGTGTATGATCTTTTTTATGTATGGCTGGATATAGATTGACAATATTTTGTTGAGGGTTTTCACATCTATGTACATCAGCAACATCGGCCTGTAGTTTTCTTTCTTTGTTGTGTCTTTATCCACTTTTGGGATTAGGATGATGCTGACCTCATAAAAAGAGTTTGGGAGCCTTATCTCTTCTTGCATTTTTTGGAAGAGTTTGACAAGGATAGCGGTTTGCTGTTCCTTAAATGTTTTGTCAGATTCTTCTGTGAAACTCTGTGGCCCAGGGCTTTTATGTACTGGGAGTTTTTTGATTCCTGCTTCAATTTCAGTAGCTATTATTTGTCTGTTCAGGCTTTCTGCTTCTTCATTCAGTTTTGGAAGATTATATGTTCCTAGAAATTTGTCCAGTTCACCCAGGTTTTCAAATTTCTTGACATGTAGTTGCTCACAGTAATTTCTTACAGTTCTTCGTATTTCTGTGGTATTAGTTGTAATTTTTCCTCTTTTATATCTGATTTTATTTACTTGGATCATCTCTCTTTTTTATTGATGAATCTTGTTAAAAACTTGTCAATTTTGTTCATCTTTTCAAAGAATCAGCTCCTGGATTTATTAATCCTTTGGATTGTCTTTTTAGTATCTATGTCATTTAATTCTGCTCTTCTCTTGATTATTTCCTTCTATTCATTCTGGGCTTTGTTTATGATTGTTCCTTCAGTTCTTTGAGATGTAGGGT